GACCAGACCAGCAGGTTAGGGCAGTTGGGGGCAATCAGACCAATAGGGGAGGGCAGTTTGGGGTGACCAGCCCTGCAGGGGAGGGCAGCTGGGAGCAAACTGGCTTGCAGGGGAGGGCAGTTGGGGGCGACCAGGCTGGCAGGGGAGGGCAGTTGGGGGTGATCAGGCCTGCAGGGGGGGCAGTTGTGAGTGACCAGGCCAGCAGGGGAGGGCCGTTGGGGGTGACCAGGCTGAGAGGGGAGGGGAGTTGGGTGCATTAGGCAGGCAGGCAGGTGAGTGGTTACTAAAACAAGAATCCCAGCAGAGGGAAAAATTATTTCCAATTTAAATAGACAGGTACAAGTCACTTATTTACTCAATTTTTCAACAAATATTTGAGAGACTGTAATGTAGTCCTCATGCAGGGAAATAACAATGAATAAGATAAACGCAGACCTTTCTTCATTTAAGGTCTTGTGATTCCTGGAAGGGTTTCTTGACGGTATATTTCTTGGAAAATTATGAGAAAAATCAGTAATTGGGAAAATGGGAAAATCATTGTACTTCTCTTATGAGAATTAAAATTTACCCATGATGGAGACAAGACATTGCTGGTTTGAAGGAATGCACTTTAGTCAAAAGTATGAGCAGGAAATGCTGACATCTGGAGTTGAAAGTTAATGTCAATGTTTCTAGAATTCGGACAAGATAACAGAGGAGAGAATTGTCATGATCAAATCAGTCAGTCCAGCCTTTAGCTGTTGCCAGGCACTAAGTGTGTGTTCCTGGCTCTGTTCGACGCTAATGGAACTCATCCTTGCAGGTACAATGATGAATAACTTGATACAAATCCTATGAGTGGTATTCCAAGAAGTAATAAGTTTTGGGAGCAAATTAAATCCATAATTGGCAATTTCCACATTCTCTTAAGCTTTCCCAGAGATTTGAATGTTACATTATTTAAAATCTACCCAATTCACTGATGTTTTTCCACTCTTTGAATATTTAAAGGATGCAGGTCTCAGGTTATAACTAGCCCCTTGGAGATGGAAACCTGAAACATCAGGCAGAAATACATGCCGTCCATCTGCATGTATTATTGAGCAAGTCTTTTTTCGCTTCCAGTACCCTCCAGTTCAGCCGACTTTGTCACGGAATCAAGCCCAGGGGCTCCAACTTAACATTCCATCTCTGCTTCCCATTGCCCATGTCTGCCTCCTTTTCATTTACTCCATGCTCTCATTCCCTTATGCCTTGCCTTCCAGAAACCCTCCGTATGTGCTCAGGCCTCTCTTTCCTAGACCTGGAATGCTTCTGTGTCCCCTTTCTGGCCCAGGGTTCACATTCTCCCATCCTGAGCTCCCTGAAGTCTTCCTCAGCTGTCCTGTGTCTTCGTGTATAAGGCCAACCTTTCCATGAAGCCTTCCCAGATCCTACAGTCAAAATTAATCCCTTTAGTCTTCCCATGGCAATGATTTCTCCTCTTTACGAGACATGCAGTTTCCCTGTGGCATGTTAATACACTCTTTTTGACTCCTCACCAGATGTTAAACTCCTTGTGGCAGGCTGTATCCCTCCAGCTGGCATAATACCTGGCAAACCGGAGGCACTTGGAAAATGTTTGTTGACTGGAATAAAACAGGCAGTTACTGAACATGATGCTATTGGCTAATTGAATCACAGTGAGTGGCTGGTCTAGGCATATAGTCATTGCTGACAAGCATCTTTATTTTAGACATCTAACCCCTACTCCCAGAGATCCTAACTGAACACGAATTTAGAATAGGTGTTCAGTGAAGGCTTGGTGGTTTGAAATTGGCAACAGAGTCTACCAGTATTAACACTAACATTTTAACACTCATTCTGACCTTCTGCTCCAAGGGACACTGCATTTTTTATATCTGGGCACACACCGCTGGCATATTCTGCCACTGCTCTTTCCCAGCAGCACTAGCTGGCTGCAATTCGAGAAGCAGGGCTTCAGGCGCCTTTAATGCATTAGTTATGCTTGCCTTGCTTATTATTGCCTCATGCCAGCTTGCTACACCCACTATCAGCTTGCAAGTCTTGCTGTTGTCCAAGTTGGCCACATCAGTTGTGCTATGATGGATGTCCCTCTGGGCCCAAATGCCTGGCCTTATTCCAAGATGTTGTTGCTGGCCAGCTGGACTCTCTGTTTAACCCTCAGGAGGCCCTACAGCTGATGCTGAGCTCAGTGCTCATGGAGGCAGAGGTGTGTACTGAGCAGATTTGGGCTTCGCAGGTGGACCATGTGCAATTAATTGTTGCTTTACAGATGGTGAGTTTGAGCTTGGCCTTGACACCAAGGTGACACCACATTGTCACTGCCTGCCTCCCTTGAGTCATACAGTCTTCCTGATTGGGAACTCAAGTTCTTCCTAGATTAATGGATCAATGAACAGTGTGTGGTCCAGGCAGCCACATTAGGTAACTCTGCACTGACAATGAAATTATTTGACCATGTCCAGGTTTCTTGCTATCAATAGAACTGGAATTTTTCTCAATATGTGACTTGCCATCAATTTATATGCAGGCATATAATTGAATTACTTTTATTCCTAGTTTAACTAATAGATAGATTATTCAATAAAGTTAAAATATCATAGAAGCAATCCTTAAAGTAGAAAGATGACTTCCATAAGCCACACAGAACATCCTGTCCCAGGGCTAAGTGTTGACCCCTTTCTCTGTCGGGAGCAGGAAGAAAGGAGGGCGCCAATGTTGAGCGGGCACTTTATATGTATCATCTCATTACTTACAGCAGGAACATGAGGTAGGGGGTATTGTACTCGTTTCAAAGATAAGAAAACCAAATTTCAGAAATTAAAGATAACAAAAGTGAGTCTCACTCTTACTCAAATGGCAAAGGTGTCTATGCTCAAGCCTGGGAGGGTCTAGCTCCCTGGTGCGGCCTTGCCTCTCCTTCATCACTGCAAAGTGTGCTCATTTTATGAGGAGATTTATAGGTATATTTCCCAGAAAACTATTTCCTGCCATTAATTATTGACTGAGTCTCAAATACACTGTGGACTTCAGGTCTTGTATGATCTGGGTGATGCTATGTTCTGTGCCTGAAATGTTAACCCAGTTCATTTCTCTGGTGAACTCCTCATCTTTAAGGTCCAGCTCATCCGTGACCTTGTCTTTGCAGCATTCTTTGAACCATATGCCATTTTTTTCCTTTACAGTTTTCTTCCTTGGATTTAAAAAAATTAAGAGAAATTCACACACATTTTAAGCTGTGTAATAAGACAAAGATTTATAAATAGCCCTCTGTCTCCCACCTCTATTCCATTTCGGCTCCTTTCTGAATAAAATTTTTTTAAAAAAATAATATAAAACTTAAACAAATATAATGAATATATATTCTTTGTCCAGACTCACCAATTTTTCAAATATTGCCACCTTTGTTTTACCATTCTTTTTATCTTTCTCCCTTAATATATAAAATTATTGTTTTCTGAAGCATTTGAGAGCAGGTTGCATTTCATGCCCCTTTACATCTTAATTTAGATGTATATTCTACCAGAGGTGGGCAAACTTTTTGACTCGAGGGTCACAATGGGTTCTTAAACTGGACCGGAGGGCCGGAACAAAAACATGGATGGAGTGTTTGTGTGAACTAATACATGTTAACACTCCTGCTGGTGAAGGAGCGAAGGGGAGAGCAAGAGAACCCTCCACTCTTTCGGCTGCACGGGCCGGATAGAACAGCCAAACAGGCTGGATTCGGCCCGCGGGCCATATTTTGCCCACAGCCCTTCTAAACTAAGGCCATTAGTCAACATTTCACTTTAGTCTCCTTAAGTTTGGAACAGTTACATATCTTTCTGTAATATAAATATTCTATGTAAATACATAATATATAAATATATAAAAATAAAATATATAAAATGTAAATACATAATATATATTATGTAAGTACAACATATGCCTATAACATATAATATATTGTGTGCAAATCATATTATGATAGATTATAGTGAGTTGTGATATAATTACTAAGTCAAGATATAATATAAATGAGAAGATATCTTTAATATTATAAAATTATAATGTAGAATTATTATATTTTAGACTTTATTAATTATTAATTTAAGTATATGTTAATTTATGTACTTTATTAGAATATTCTTATTTTCGGTTTGTCCTATGACTTTTCATGATTATATTCAGGTTATGTGTTCCCGGCTGTCATACTACAGAAAGGATGTGTCCTTCAGGATACCACATTCTTAGGCATGCCATGTCGATTTGCCCTTTATTAACGAATAGAATAGGTTAAATTCTATTCCCCAGTCAAGGCGTAATGCAATGTAGCACATTTTCTCCATAGTAGAATTATTCTTTTTATTTATTCAACTAATATGTAATTGGTGAGGAAATGGTTTGAAGCCCTGCAAATATCTTGTGCCTCATTAAACTTTCATACCTTAGATTTAGCATGCATTGATAGTTTGTGATGTTTCTTGAGCAAGTCAATCTTTACTCATATGGAGAAGCAAAATGGATATTTTCCAACTGTACTACTCCTTCTATATTCATTAACTGGATTTTTAATGTAAGGAAGAGCTCTCCATCCTTTTTCTTTCACTTGCTTACTGTATATATATGTAGGTACTTACACATGCATTGGTCCATCTAGCCATCCATCCATCCATCCATCCATATCTTTATTATCATTATGCATTCATGAATGTCTTTTCAATGATTTATAATTTTTAAAGTCTTTATTTTGATGTTCAAATTGTCTCATATTTGGTCAGTGGCCTGTCACTGGCTTCTGTGTCCTTTTGACACATGAACCTGTCATGTTTTGTGCACTTTCTTACTTTCTAACATGAGAAGATGATCCATCCAAACTTCTCTTGTAGCTCCCCAGCTTCAGCCCTGCAGCCCATGGTCTCCTTAGTGGAGGAATGGCTTGCAGTTAGTGCCGGGATGGCCCTTTGCTCCTGAGGTGTTTGCATTTAAGCTCTTTCAGTGACAGAGCTAAGAAATACACACATGTACATATACTCACATATAACAATGAGGAGTTCAGACGCATTCCCATTCTTGTTAGAATTATTGATTCCTCAACTTATTCCTATTAGAGCTGTGTAAATGTCTTCTGCTCCACTAGCATTCCAGGCCCAAAGACTAGCACACTGTCTGGCACTCAGTCATTGCTCAAAAAATTTTCTGAAAAGCCCTGGCTGATGTGGCTCAGTTGGTTGAGTGTCTTCCCATGTACCAAAAGGTCTCTGGTTTGATTCCCAGTCAGGGCACATGCCCGGGTTGTGGGCTTGATCCCTAGTAGGGGGCATGCAGGAGACAGCCGATCTATGTTTCTCTCTCAACTGTTTCTCTCTCTCTCTCTCCCTCTCTCTAAAAAAATCAATAAAAACATATTTAAAAAGATATTTTGAATAAAACAACAAATGAAGAAACTTTGATGCTGTGAATTAACCTTCTATGGGAGAAAGGTTAAAAACGAAGAGAAGCATGGAAATCTTGCCCCCTCTTCTTTTCTCCTTCTATAAATGTATTATTAAATATATATGATAACCAGAGATGGTTAGAATTTGAATAACAACGTGTTTCCCATTTTATTACACTTTGCAGTCATCTAAATCCAAACACATTTTTGTAATACTTTACTGAAAGTAATTTTCTGAAGTTTTAATTTTTAATTTTTTTCCAACATCCTAGGTAGCTGGAATTGTTGGCAGAGCTGACGTATTAGCGTGCCTGCTGTTTCTGTTGGCCTTTCTCTCCTACAACAGGTATGAATAGCTAAGGGTGTCCTTCTCTGTGATTACAGTCATGCTCTCCTTTGGGAATTTCTGCTGTGTGTGTGTGTGTGTGTGTGTGTGTGTATGTGTTCTCAGCATCTGCCTGAGAGAGGAAGGAGGCTTCTTGGTGTTGAAATGCTCAGAGAGCTCCCCCGAGACCTGGCATAGGACATTCTCTCCTTTCCAAGTGCCAGGTGTTCTCTCTTCCAGCCACATTCTGAACCATGTCATAGCCTTTTGTAGGAACTGCCCTCCCAGGACTAGGAAGACAAGCTCTTGCTTCTTGTTTTCCTTTTACTTACAGTTTCTGACTGAGAATGGAATTTGGAATCATAGCTCTGAGCAAAAATAAATTGGGTGTAGTCCTTTCTCTTATTTGCCTATGATTTGTTCAGTTTTTCCTTTTCATTTTTGGTACTCTTCCCCCCAGCCCCTACCCCTTCTTATCCTCATTAAAGTAGCTCAGAGCTTAAAACCATTCTGAATTGAAAGTCATGGTTCTCAACTGTGGTTTTCCAATTTACATACCCTTTCAAAATATACAGAAGCTACTTGCTTTTGGGAGATTAAAAAGCAATAAAATAATTTTCCATTATATTGCCTGTTTCCCCCCAGTGTGATCAGGCTCTCACCTGTGTTGTGAAATATCCCCAAAGGGAAAGGAGCAGATTGAAAAGAGAATGGAAATAAGGGCAGATGACTCAGAGCATGGCCCAGAAAAAAGGGGTCAGTGAACCATGTTGCCCTCCTTCGTGGAGGATGGCCTGGCCTGGCTAAGGATTTGTGAACTTTGATCTTTGGATCATTTTATCGATCTATACCCTCACAAAGCCCAGGGACTCTAGCAAACACTTCTAAACCAGTGGTTCTCAGTATGCGGCAAATTTGCCCCTACTTCCCCAGGGGACATTTGACAATTTCTGGAGACATTTTTGCTTGTCTCAACTTGCTAGACTGAGGATCCTACAATGTACAGGGGCAGCCTTTACAGTAAAGAATCATCTTCCTCAAAACGCCAATAGCACTGAAATTGAGAAACCCTGTTGTAAACCAATTTAGACTTTGGATCCGGGATGGAATGAATTAAGTCTTAGGAAGTTCTGGTAAAGAGCAGAGCCTTTAGTATAGTACCAGTCTTCTAGTCCTGGCTTTGTGACCTCCCATTGCATTGCTAGTCATGCATAAAGATGTGAAAATCTTAAAACTATAAATCCAAGTGCAACAATTGTTTCCTGTTTACTCTGGTGTCAGAACAAGATTAATAATTGCTTTTAGTTTAGTTTCAACTTGTTCTTTTGAGCTTTCTCTGTGTGTTTAGGAACACGATTGGGCCTGCAGTATAGCCATGTTTATGCGATAATGAGCTATAGCATCACAGGTTTCTGTTGTGCGTGCCATTCTTACTTTTAGCAATTTAAGCTATAGCCCAGCATTGAAGAAGAATGCATATCTACTGGCATATACTTTTATGCAACTGCTTTTAGACATAGGAGTAAGGGTAAGACATCATAACTACAGAAATATTAACCTTTTCTTCAAAGGAGTGGGAGCCAATGGGCGTGGCGCCTGCTGGAGGAACTGTGGTGTTTCTTCGTGTGGGGCTGGTTCCCTTTTGTGAGATGAAAAAAAGACTTTACAGCTGGAGGGCTCTTGAAAATCCCTGCTGGAAATTATACTGAGGGGAAAAAAAAACAAAACACCTTTATCTAATATGGCCTTCTGGGAAATAGATTTAAATATGCAGATTAGGCAGAAAAAAAGAAAAAAGCTAAATCATCTGTATTTTCATCACACAGAGAAATGATGATTAGTTATGTGTGTGTGTGTGTGTGTTGTGTGTACTTGTGTGCGTATATATATCTCCACTGATTTTTGTGTTTTGTGTACAGAAGCATATAAAATACCTTCACTAAAATAATAATGGTGATGAACACTTAATATATATTTGGTCACTTAATGAATTCTCCCTCCAACACCATGGTCCCATTTCACAGGGAAAGAAACTGAGGCAGAGAGGCAAAGTAACCTGCCCCCTATGACCCTGTTACTTAACTATAGAGCTATGATTGGAACCCAGGAAACCTGGCTCCGGAGTTCATGCATGTGGTTTAGTAACCTGTGTTATTCACTTAAAATATATTCACCTCACCATCTCTCCATGTCACTAACTATGTCTCTATGGTAGCATTTTAAATGGCTTTTTAGTATTCATTTATTGTATGGCAGGTTTTGTCATAATTTTCACATACCTTAATTTAAGTCTCAAAATCGGAACTAGGCATTTACTTTTTTTCATCTTTGCAATTTTACATGATTCTATTACTAAAGAAACATTTGCTCACCTACTTATTTAGAATGAAATGAAATTGATGCTAGATCTTAGTGTTAAAAAATGGTATTTCTTAGCAATCCACATTCTTCTTATATTAGAAGAATCTCAACCTTGTTTTTCAGGAGTGTGGACCAGTGCTGTGTTGGGGAGTGTTTCCCTTCCACGGCCTCTCCTTTCTTCTTGCTGCTCGGTTTGTTTCTGGGGACCTGTGCAATGCTGGTGAAAGAGACGGGCATCACAGTGTTTGGAGTGTGCTTGGTTTATGATCTCTTTTCTCTATCCCACAAGCAAGAGAAATCGTAAGTCCATTTGAATGTTTTGATGTTAAGCAGTGCGTGGATACATGGAACAGACTGGTTGATGCCCAAGGGGAGAAGGGTAGGGGGTGACTGGATAAGGAAGAGGAAGGGATTAGCTGAAGAACATATATGTATATGCCATGGACATGGACACTAGGTGGTGAAGGCCAAGGGGGAGGGGGAGGCGGGCCAAGGGAGGGTAAGAAAGGGGCACCTGCAATACAAATTTTTAATAAAACAGTTATCAACTAAAAAAAGAAATAAAGATTCCAGAGCCAAGTCACAAGAAAGTACTTAAATCAGTAATTTTAAAACTTCATTAAAAATATAAAAATATTTTTGTTAAATGTAACTTCACTTTAGACCAGCCGTGGGCAAACTACGGCTCGCGGGCCGGATCTGGCCCGTTTGAAATGAATACAACTAAAAAAAAAAAAAAAAAGACCGTACCCTTTTATGTAATGATGTTTACTTTGAATTTATATTAGTTCACACAAACACTCCATCCATGCTTGTGTTCCGGCCCTCCGGTCCAGTTTAAGAACCATTGTGGCCCTCGAGTCAAAAAGTTTGCCCACCCCTGCCTTAGACCATAATATAACAAGTGAGCCTTGTTTTATTAAGATAAATGTTCAAACTCTTCACACTTTTATAAAAAAATCAGTGGGGTCTATAACATTTTTATGTGCCCCAAATTAGGAATTGAGAAGTATCTATACTTTACAAGTTTATATTAGCAATATTTTCTGGTTGTAAACCACTGAGAAATTTTGATTCACACAGAGAAGTGGTTGCCAGTAGAAACAGTTTGTTAACAGCTTGCCTTGAACCTGTGCATCCAAATTAGTGTTATCCATCAAAGGGCACTGCTGCGTTGGAGTCTGCTCTAGAGTTGAGTTGTTACCTAAGAGTTTTGTTTTGAAATTTCACAAATGGCTAATCTAAACCACACAGGAATACTCACACATCATATGCAAATCAAAGAACACGTTTTATTTAGTAGCCCGTTTTTATTTTACAAATTTAAGGCACATTCATTTTATCCTGTGTATTGTAGCCAATAAAAATGACTAAGGCATATTAATAGTTCTGACACATACCATAATTTTCTTCCTCTATTAATTCCATAATTACTAACAATTTGACATGCAGACCCCATTTTTCAGTAATTATAAGGTTCTTACTTTTGAACTTTAAAAAATGTGGTTGATTTATTTTCCTGCCTTGTCCAGTGAAGAATTTTATCTTTGAAAAAAATCCTGCCTTTTTATTCTGTTTCCTACTTCTTTATACTTCTTGACATAAAGATAAGAGCAGGGTTGTTGAGTAGCAACAAGCTGAGATTAACCATCACATTCTGATCACCTTCCTGCCTATTTGTACTTAGACATCATTTAAGTGGAGTTTAGTGCTCTGTTGACTCCCTGTGAATCTCTGAGGAAGGAAAACCATTATCATTTTGACCCGAGCTCTTGCCAAGAAAGCCACGAGCCACAGGCCCTCCCCTTGGCTTATGTGAGGCTGTCTTTCCTCTATATCAGTGATGGAGAACCTTTTGAGCTGGGCGTGTCAGCATTTTGAAAAACCCTAACTTAACTCTGGTGCCGTGTCACATACCGAAATTTTTTGATATTTGCAACCACAGTAAAACAAAGATTTATATTTTTGATATTTATTTTATATATTTAAATGCCATTTAACAAAGAAAAATCAACCAAAAAAATGAGTTCACGTGTCACCTCTGACACGCGTGTCATAGGTTCGCCATCACTGCTCTATATTCTCTTAACCAATGGAAGCAATTGCATTGCTCGCCTTTTGTTTTGTTTTTGTTTTTTTTAGAAAACAACCTGTTGACCTCTCTTGCTTCCCACTTTCTCCACTTACTTTCTTGCATTCTTTTTGTCTCCTCCTCCTAGCTTCTTTCTGCTTTGCCTCACCGACAGCAGCAGGGTGTGACAACTGACTGCAGACCCTCCCCTTTGGTCCTGTCCAGAGCTATTTGAACCTCATCACTGAAGTCTTGTCTCTGTCTCCTCTGGCCTCGGGACTCTGCAGCCCAGTGTTGCCTATATTTTCTTCTTTATCCAGTTACTGTAGAGCCAGGCTTTTTTCAAAGGGGATAATTGTCTCTTTTATTCTTTTAATAATCTTTCCTGACCTCCATTGTAAACCGCTAGAAGATCTATGGAAGGAATAATATGCCGATATATAACTTCGATGTTGCACGGCTCATCCTCTGTGATTTTTTTAAAAAGTAACTTTGAACTCTCAAAACCAGCAGCTCTGCATACGTGGAGACATTCATTTATTCCCTCCACCCATTCAACATATACTCATTCTGTACCTGGCCAAGAATAAGAGATAAGATTCCTTCCCTCAGAGAGCATGTCCAGTATTGGGGGAGACAGACATTACATGAGTAATTACATGAGTAACTGACTGCAGCTGTGAGCATGGTGAGAAGGAACCAGAGCATGTGACAGGGAGACCTGGCCCATGATGGTTAATGCCTCCCAAGTTCTGGCCGTGTGCCAGGCATTGTGTGTGCCAGGCCATTTACAGGCATGAAGTCACAGGGTGCTCAAAACTGTTGCCCTCGTTTTGCAGAGGAGAAAACAGAGGCACAGAAAGTAACCTCTGTAGAGTCACCTATCCCTGAGTGGAGCCAGAATTAGGTCCCTTGTCTTTATGGCTCCATGAAGGAATGCGAGGCAGAGACCTGGAGACCTCCCAGAGCACCTCTGCTCAGGAATGGGGTGCACACTTGTACCAGGACACCGGCTCCGAAGTTCTGAGTGTATTTCTTGGGGGTCATGACCCCTTTGAGAATTTCACAAAGTTGTGTCCCCTACCCCCAGAATAATGTACGCAGTTTTGCACAAAACTCTTAGGGATCTACCCCTGTTTATTTGCTCATTTAAAATAAATATCTTAGCAGTAGGTTGTTTTTGAGGTCTTTCCTTGTATGACTCAGGCAGCAGGAAAGAAACAGTAACAGAAACAAAGGTTGGAAGCACTTTCCTACATGAAGAGCAATTTATTCCTAAATTTTAAGGGAACCACACCAATGGAGTGGGATTTCTTTTATTTGACATCACCTATAGGAAAAAATATTTTTAGTGAAAAATGAGCCCCTGAGAGTTAAATTTCTGTTTTTTATTTTTTTAAATTTAGTATAAAATTTCCAACATACAGACAATAGCATTCCCTAACCCCAGTCCCTAACACCTCTCTCTAGAAGTAACCACAAATGTGAGTTTGGCACTTTTCATTTCTATGATTATTTCTATGCCATTATTTCCTATGTAGATACCAGTGAATACAAAACAGTATTACTTAACATAGTTTCAAACTTTACATAAGTCACTTGCTTTTCTTTTCATTTACCATTAGGCTTTAAGATACATCATTGCTGATACAAGTAGCTATAGTTCATTCATCTTAACTGTTGTATGGTATTTAATCATCCCAATTTATTTATCCAGTTTTCTGGATTTGGAATTTAGGTTATTTTCACAATGTTTGCTATCCTAAACTATGCTGCAGTGTATTTTCTTGTGCAAACACCATAGGAATGGGGTTGCTGGGACCACAGACCGGTGCCTGTTCATTGTGTTACATGCTGAGATAAGCCCTTGAAATGATCCCTTTGCTCACCGTCACTTGGTAGAATCAGACTTTTTCAGATTTGTCCATCCAATTGTCATGAGTTATGTCTCTGAGGATTCATGAAAGAAAAATTTAATCACAGTACTTTGGATGGATCAGCTATGAACGGGATTTTCCAAGTTCATAATTATGCAAATCCTGAATACCACTTCCATCAAATATTATGAGAAAAATATATTTGGAGAATCAGGGGTGAAGAAGAGTGCGTGTGTGTGTGTGTGTGTGTGTGTGTCCATATATGAAGGACTGAGTCCTAGTTTTCTATATTAGGAAGTCAATAAAATAATTTCTAAAATCAAAAAAAGAAATAATATTATACTTATGTTAATTTTAAAATACTGTAGTCCATACCAGAAACAAAAGAGCTAAAACACTTGAGAACGGTTGCTTCTAGGAGCAGGACTTTGCAGGGGGGACAGGGACTGCTATTTCTTGTTGCAAGCCTTGTCATTCTGTTTGACTTTATTTAGGAGCAATGGGGTCATCCCTCAGCGCAGCCCCCAGCAACCGGGGAGCCCCCAGCCCTCACTGCCAGCGCACCCCCTCCGGCAGAATGGGAAGCAGCAGCGGTTCCCTCACAAAGGAGCCTGGAGTGGCTGCCACTCCCCATTGCCACCAGAACCCAAGAGCAGTGGATTCCCGGTGTCTCCTCGAGCTGTGTGGTCCATGATGAGGTACTGTGCTGGGCTCTTGGACCGTGTGCGTTTTCACCATCCAGTATCACCTATGTGGGCTGATAGGAGAACGGAAGCCTTGAGTCGGGTTTTGTGACCTCCCCCTCTCTCCTTGTTTCTCTGCCTTTCTTGTTCCTTCCCTTCCTTCCTTGTATTAGATCAGATAAGAAAGGGGTAACTGGAAAAAGCCCTGCTCTCTGCTGTTATTTAGAAGCAGGGGGTGAGGTGTGGGTCTGTGAACACTCAATTAAGGAGAGCAAACGTTTTCTTGTTTTCCTGGTGGAAGAACCTTGTGTGACTGGCTTAGAAAGATAAATACCACATGATCTCACTCATTTATGGAATATAATGAACAACATAAACTGATGAACAAAAACAGATCCAGAGACAGAGAAGCATCGATCAGACCATCAAACCTCAGAGGGAAGGTAGGGGAGGGTGGGGGTAAGGGGGAGAGATCGACTGAAGGACTTATATGCAAGCATATAGGCCTAACCAATGGACACAGATAACAGGGGGGTGAGGGCATGAGTGGGGGGGATGTGGGGTAATGTGGGGATAAGTACACATATGTGAGGACACAGATAACAGGGGGGGTGAGGGCATGAGTGGGGGGGATAGGGGTAATGTGGGGATAAGTACGCATATGTAATAACTTAATCAATAAAAAATTAAAAAAGAAAAAACCTTGTGTGGAGACCCCAGCCCTTGGTTTTCTGGGGGAGGAGAGCGCTCTACCTTCCGCTTGCTGTCTCACCTGGCTCTTGTGTGTGGTAGGAATTTATTACAGCACAAGTATGGGAGGAAGCCCAGGGGACTCTGCCTCTCAGAAATGTTTGTGGGGATGCAGGAAAATCTTTACAGCATGGGACTTCCTTTTTAAAAATAATTTCACCTAGCCATAACACTTAACATCCATTTATCGGAACAGGTGCTCACTAAATTAGGTTGCCTCTAATCTTGCTCAGGCCATGAGCAAGCCAGAACTTAATAAAGATGGAAATTCAATTCATACTGTTAGTATATTACTACTTCAGATTGCTGTTCTTATTTTTCTGTTCATTTCTAGAAAAATCCTTTGGTTTCAGGGTCTGTGTTTCCCATTATTTCCACTTCTCCCTGTTTCTTATTTTTTTTGCCTCTTGCTTTATTTATTCATTTATTAAATATCTGTTTTAAATAAAATACCCACTGAGTGTCTACCATAAGCCAGACACTGTTCTCGGTACCAGGAATATCCTGGTGAGTAAGAAAGACAAGGTCTTTGCTGTTATGTTGCTTCCTTTCTAGTAGAAGAAGACAGGCACTGGATAAACGACAATGAATGAAGTGATGGAGAGGGACACATTTGCATTGGCTGGTCAGAGCAGGCCTCCTGCAGCCTCCTGAATGAGAGGAGGAGCTAGCCCTGCAAGGATCTGGGCACAGGGTCCCAGACTTGGGGTAATGAACATGTGGGGATTGGAGAGGCAAGGTCAGGAGGTGGGCAGGTCCCAGATGATAAAGGGCCGTGTTAGCCAATGAAGCAAGTTTCAATTTTATTCTGAGCGGAATGGAGAGACTTTGGAGGTGATGTTGTTTTTGCTGTTGTTATATTTTGTTTTATCTTAAGTTGATAAGAAATGGTTACATTAAATATCCTGGCTTCATCTTGGCACATGATGTTGGGGACACGAGTAAAGCACGGAAAAGAGTTAAGTTTTACACAGACTGAGGGAGATGGAGACTGGGGTGAACAGGTGTGGTGGGTTTGGGATGCCTTTTGGATACAGATCCCACAGGACTTGCTGATGTGTGGGGTGGGGGAAAGGAAAGGAAGGAAACACGGATTTGGGGGTGTTGGCTTAAACAGTTGGGTGGACTGTGGTGTCAGTTACTGAGATGGAAAGTCAAGGAGCGAAATAAGTTTCCTGAGGGTTGGAGGGAGAAATTCTTGAGAGAGAAAGAGAGACAAACAATCGTAACATTGAGGAAATCTTGACCTTTATGTGAAGGGCCATGGAGGCAAAGGAGATAAAACATTTGGGGAAGTTGTTTTTAAGGAGGCAAAGGAGGAGAAAACAGAGGAGTAAATAGGGACTTGTAGATTTCCAAGGCAGGACAGAAATCAGATTGTAATGTGACTGAGTTCCCTGAGGGCAGGGGCTATGCTGTGTTTTGCTCATATCTGTATCTCCAATTCATCTCATAGTGTCTGGCTAATGGTAGTGGCACAAGTATTTGTTAAATGAATAAATTAATGAGAGGCTGGTAAAAAGTGTTGGAATTAAGCATACTTATTCAGAAAATTTGGCAATGAAGGAGTGGGGGAAAAGGATGGTAACTGGAGGGGGGGGGTTAGGTTTTTGTTTTCATTTTCATTTTAAATTTGATGGATATGTGTCTGTATTTAGACAATTTGTAGAGAGTAGAGATGAAAGATGCTGGAGCAGAAAGGGGTACGATGAAATATGAATACTAGGGTGTGCTGGTAAATGTTTAATAACTGGCTCCCAAAGCAAGGAAATCCTGACTTATAGTGTTTGCCAATTTCCATGTAAATAACTCCTACCAGGTCTTATTTCAAGCTATAAATGTGACGGCACTGAAAGTGAGTTGGGGGAGAAGTTCCGTAGCTCACCATGATGCAATATTTCCACTGCCTAATAGAAAATAGACATAAATAACCTGAAGAGCATAGATAACAATGAAGCAAAGTAAATGAATCAGGAAATAAGAGATTTCAGTATGTATCACCTTTGTTTCTAATAAGATTAATTTTAAGTTAATATCATTTAATTTTGAATGATGGCTGTATTTAATAACTGGCTTGCAAAATACCTAAAAATCAAATAGTCATTTCCTGCATACCACTGTGAGTCAGCTGCCACCGACCAGTGAAGAGGGTCCTTCAGGGGAAGGAAGACAGTTTCATATCTGTTATTCATCTACTATGTTCCAGGACGTGAACTAGCAGGTTCCATACAGCCATCACACTGATGCATTTTAGGTAGATATCATCGTTCCCCTCACTTGAGGAAATGGAAGATCTTAGAGGTTAAGACACCTGGTTCACATTCACATAGTAAGGGGGAAGGTCAGGATTGGAACTCAAGCTGTGTGACCCCTAAACGTATGCTTTGCCCATTTGCTGGGCTCTAAAGCCCATATCCTAGGCAAGGGCTTAGCCCTGGGGATGAGGCAGGACACTGGTTTCATTCTCTGTGGAGCTGGCCTCGCTGCTGAACTCTCAGGGGGGGACAGATTCTTGCTGCCATCCTTGGATCACACATAAGGCACCTCTTGACTTGCTTTGATCTATGGTGTTGGTGCTAATACATTTAATTAGACAGCATGCTTTTGTAGGTTCTGTTCTGTTCTTTTTTCACCCTGAGCACCAGGCTGTTTTAGAGAGAATGAAGCTCGGAGAATAATGCACAGCTCAGCTGGAACTGGGTCAGAGTCTCACTATGTTAACCTGTTTGTGGGCGGGAAGGACCATTATCCCTCCTTGGGAAGGAAAATTGTCAATAGTTTCCCTTTTTGAAAAGTAAACGTGTCATATACTGGAGTATATATTTAATTAGTATTAAAATTATTTTTGAAAACTATGCTTATGTTAGAAGGTGATCAGGTTAAGCAAACAAAAGTTCAAAGAGGCATCTTATCTTAATTCTTAAGATCTCTGCAGCCCTGGCCTGTGTGGCTCAGTTGGTTGGAGTGTTGTCCCATGCACGGGAGCGTTATGGGTTTGATTATGGGTCAGGGCACATACCCTGGTTGCAACTTTGATCCCTGGTTGGGGCACATACAGGAGGCAACAGATTGTTGTTTCTCTCTCTCTCTCTCTCTCTCTCTCTCTCTCTCTCTCTCTCCCTCCCTCCCTCCCTCCCTCTCTCTCCTCACTCCCCCTCTTCCTTCTCCTCTCTCTAAAATCAATAAAAACATATCCTTGGTGAGGATGTAAAAACAAAACAAAACACAAAAGAGAGCTCTGCAGACAGCAGTTAAATCATGGCTCCTTCGCTTACTTGATCTGGACAAGTTGTTTTATCTCTGCGGGCCTCTGTTTTCTCACCTCCAGAAGGGGGAGGTAATAGTAGAACCTTACTCTCTGCTGGGCTGTCAGGACTGCAAGCTGTAGCACATATTGCCTGGCACAGGGTGGCCATTCAGTGCATGGCAGCCAGCAGTGTCATTATTAGTAGTTTAGTGTTATAACTGTGTGGGTTTCTGGACACCAGGATGCATGATGAAAATGGTAAATCTGCAGTTTGCAGGCAAGGAGTGGGATTGTGTGGGATTTGTTGTTGTTTTTGAACTTCAAGACTGTTGGCTAGTATTTATTTGCATTGTATGTATGGCATTAGATTGACAAAATGTTGGCTAAATACAATCAGGTAAAATGTTTTTCAGAAGTTTCTATACACAGGGAAAAATCCCAACCCAAGAAAAATCCCACTGCAAGTTATTTAGTTGCCTTTTTTCTGTGTGACTTAGTAATTGGCATATAGGTAGAAAGTGCAATGAAAAACCTAGGACATCAAATTCGTTTACCTGTGGACACACCTTCCCTTTTACATTAGGAAGCTCCATGAATTCTATATGAAATATTATCTTCAAGACTCATATATATGGTGTCCCCAAAAATGTATACACACTTTAACAGCTGAAAACTCACTTAATTTTCACTCATTTTCAGGTTTGTTTAACTGATTTGAAATAATGGGTGAAGCCAGATTAACCTTTGAACAAAAAAAATTTATCCTAAGGTGCCAGTAGACTTTTTTTTTATGGGGACACATAAAAGATAAAGTTTACGGTTCAAAACCAGCAACAGTCAATGAATTGAGGGCACACAAATATCAAAAGAAATGATTCTTGATGTTTGTGATTCCATTGCTTCACATTATCAGCAATGTCTGGACCAGAACACTCATCAGTTTGAAAACAGGCATTGACAAAGAAAATTATTCATTTCTGTAGATTCTTTTAAATTTTGAAAATAAACTGTATGTTAA